AGTATCTTTATCAAACTATAGTATACCTCAAAATTCACTTGATTTTGTGTAATTGTATCTTCCCATTGTAATTTAGGACTGCAATTGATCAGTCTCTTGTTGGTATATATGCATCCTATGCGGACTTCCTCGATATTGCCTGAAGTTTACCTTTCTTTACAGACAAAATCGTATTTATATGGATTCGAATCATTGTTTGAACTTAAAGATTATAGTTAACATCACACTGATCACTTATAGAATCAATAAGTATTAAGTTTTATAGACGTTAGTTTCTTAACAAGAATCAACCTGATACTTATTTTAGATATTATGTATGTATCATTTGAATGAATAATCTTCGCAAACGGAATACTGGTACCTATTTGTTTATGTTTAATTTTATGAATTATCATACAAATTTGATATCATATGAAATGAATACTAACTAACATACAAGGTTAGTGCAACAGTCAAGTTCAAACACATCTTAGTTTATAGGTAAAGGTATATGTGTTACAATGACCTGATAAATAACACTACGATTTTTTTAAAAGAAGATTACTTAAGTTCGAATGTAAGTTGGTATATCAGTACTTAAATATGGAATTACATTTAAATGAGAAATCGTAAATGAACATGGTGGAACAGATGCAAACGTGAGGGCGAGGATCGGCAAAGCAAGAGCAGCATATTTACAACTAAAAAATATCTAGGACTCAAAATAATTGTCAACCAACACCAAAGTGAGAATTTTTAAAATAAATAAGACAACAGTTCTACTGTATGGGGTGGAGACGTGGAGAACTACGAAAGTCATCATCCAGAAGACATAAGTGTTTATTAACAGTTTTCTAAGAAAAATACTTCGGATCGGTTGGCCAGACACTATCAGCAACAAGTTATTGTGTGAGACAACAAACCAGTGGAGGAAGAAATCAGGAAGATGAGCTGGAAGTGGATAGGGCACACTTTGAGGAAATCACTTAATAGTGTCACAAGACAAGCCCTAACATGAAGTCCTGAAGACCAAATAAGAAGAGGAAGACCAAAGAACACATTACGTCGAGAAATGGAGACAGACATTAGAAGAATGAACGAAAGTTGGATAGAACTATAAAGAAGGCCCATGACAGAGTGTGGGTTAGAGAATGCTGGTCTGTGGCCCATGCTCCATTGGGAGTAACAGGCGTAAGTAAATAAGTAAGAGAAATCGTAAATAGTACAGAACGTGCGTTCTGTATTTCACTCCTAACCTCTATCAAGGATTTTTGTGTGAAGGTGGTAACTTTGCAAAACCGAAACACAATTCATTCATATAATCATCACTATACAGCAGATCAAAAGTAATGCAGGTTAGCTGAAAAAATAAATAAATTTTATTACTTTTTCAGAACGGAGTTGATAGTAATAGACTGAAGTAGAAATCAATATTAGTAGAGTATGGGTCAGAGACAGAATTTTTTTTACCCTAGATTTTTATCAGAGTTTCTGTGTAACCAGAACAACCTAATTGGACAATTTAAACTATAGTCAAGACAATCAGAACAAGCCATGTAATAATTATTCCTTAATTGTTATTTCTAATTTTTATAAATACTTGAAATCATGAGTCAATTGAAGCTAGACCATCATGGAAAACCTACAAGCACTGGATGGCCGTTTCGTCCTATTATGGGACCCCTCAGCAGTGCGCATCCACGATCTCGCACTCGCGTGATTCGAACCCAGGACCTGCCAATCTCGCGCCAGAACACTTAACCGATAGACCACTGAGTCGGCCGGCATCCAACGGTGTTAATGTCTAACTTCAAATAGTCCATTCACCAATGTCATCAGTGAGTTGATATCTCCCAACAGACCTGGTTAAACTCCACTGGTTACTGCTTCTCACTAGAACTCGATTACTATTACATGACCATTATATTGATTATGACTCGATATTCCACTAAAAATCATCCTGACTTTTATTAAATGACCTTTCTCATTTACAAATAACTCAATTTCGAATTATATATGTCATAACAGATGCAAACGTTCACCATTTTTAACATATAACATCCATCAATTTCATTAATACATGCCTTAATTTCGCCTTTGTAAAGTATCACAATAATTAAGGACATATAACTGTAGAGTCTGATGATGAAGTTATTAAAATAAATTGTTCGTTCAAATATCCTCCATTTTTGAATATTCTATGGAAACTTTTAAATTTCTGAAATATATGGGTACATAAATCATTTGACTAAAACAATAATTTTCTAGATTTCGGAGTTATTTCTATCACCATGAGATATTTTACTGGTTATATGGGAGATGAAGAATATATCTTGCTATTTCGTCTTTCATTTGAATACAACGACCACAACTAAAATGATGACACTGGATAACTACTGTACACGAAATAAACATTAAGTTGATTAGTATTCAGTGATCGATCAGTGTAAATATATCTTCCGTAAAAGAAGTTAGTCGCAACGCAACTAACCAGGTAATATCTCCGTAGGGATCTCTTTTCAACGAATTTATTATCAAGCTGTACAATCGTATATATATATATGAAAAATTTTTGTTAAAGTACTAATTCCGTGAGGAAATGTGAACACGAATAACCAAGATGACGTAATAGAAAGGTTATAATAATAGATTACGTAATACGAGTAATAACAAAAGATTTAGTGAATATAATAAGATGATTAAAATGCTTTTGTCGCTATAATTAAAGGTTATAGAGGTGTAAAAATAAATAAAGTGACATGATGAGTATTCATGGATAAAATAATGAGAATATAAGACATAAGTAAAGGGGGAATGCAAATGAGAATTATATGTCAATATTTAACATGTGTTTTCCAAGACTCATGTCCAAGTTGCGTCTTACTCAAACTACATTTGATGAAGACTTATGCTATCTTCAATCCCTAATTTTACTTACCACTGATCAGCTCCATTCCTAATTTTCTCATTAATCGTTCTCAATTGGTATAAGTTACTTATTATAATTACCCAAGCAAAATAATTCATTGGTGTGACTATATTATTATTTTGCAGTCGATATTATAAACTAGTTTTAATTAGAATTCCATTGAACAGCAGTAAAAAAGTGAACAGCTGTTGAACCCTAGTATGAAAAAAATAGACATTCAGTGTTTCTTAGGTTTCTATACATTTTTTATTAAGATAAGTTCATCAAAATAACTATATAATACAAAATAAATGGACCGTCATATTGATTTGCCAATATTATTGACATAACTTTTATCCATCTGATTATCATAATTATAACTGCCATGATTATTATGCTCGTTGCCTTAGACGAACAAACAGTTTTCTTGTCAGGCATTCCGTACACAATACTCAAATAGGTTTGAAAATTCCTGCATAATATTTAAGAATAAAGAGTATTAGAGTGAACGATGATTTTCGACAACTCCTCCAAGCTCTACAATTATAAATCCGAAATTATTATTGTGTTTCAATGGATAAAATGTCCTATTATGTCATTTCTTTGGAACCAGCATGTCATCTCGCCACAGGGAATCGAACCCAAGACTTCGGGAATCGTTGTTGAGTTAATAATAATAATATCTATTGTTATTATTATGGCATCGAGAATAATTACGAATATAAATGTCATGATAAGTTAGGTGAATGTACAACTAAGAATGAGAATGTCTAGGCTAGGAGCACAACGCATTATGAAAGGTAAGCGACAAACCTGGAACAACGAATGAAGCAACATCAATATGGACCAAAATAAATGCTATGTGGAGATACCTTTTGATCAACACTGGGCTTCGTATCAATTATGAAAAGCAATACTTTCTAAGTTAGATCGGCAAATCCGGTGAACTCACATGCCTATGACACAGAAAATAGAGATATCATCGGTAGTTATCAAGAGTGAGCGACGTCCTCCGACAGAACCAATTGCCTGTGACGAACGGCCCCCCGTAAGATGCGTAAAACCCCATACAAGAATAAATCGTAACCTACCTAAATCCCTCCCCGATTCGTCGAGAATAGGTTCAACTCTAGATTGATATCTCGTATTACCTAACGCTTTGCCCATAAGGATAATGAGCACGCTGAAACATATTACAGGAAAGTAATTTAGAAGGATCATAGTTTCGACCTAAACTAACACATCACATACTCGACCTAGGAGATAATGCCAATTCAATTATACACAGCAGCGCACCATCCAACTGCACTCAAATCGAGTATTTGATGTTAGGTACTTCAACTCCAGATGCAGCCAGCTAGACTAATTGGTTGGTGCCTGGTTAACAACGTCAACTAGAACGTACTGTGAACCTCAACATGACCCTTCTTTTACACTGACACTTAACATTCCCTAGCGGCTCATCATATTCCCCACAACCATTGTCCACGAAAATCCATGTCTTGTCTCCACAAGTACTTAGAAGACTGTTTCCCGTCGCCACCTGAACAGGCCTACGCCGACTGCATACCTCGAAACGATGATCACGTCAGGGTACCATTGAAGCGGCTCAACTCCAAGTACAGAAACTCATGCTTGACCCACATCCCATACTCAGCAAAACGGAAGTGCGCAACAACGAGCTACGAAGGAGTCTTGAACGAGGAATACCCGTTACTCAACAGCGTAACACTGGGTGTTCGCAACTAAAAAGGAGGTCGAGGTAAACAATCACCACCCTTTTACGGCGGCTAATTGTGCAAACACACCTACAACCTATGCGAACCCATCGACTCGGCAGAGGAACTAGATCACAAGCATGTTGGCATTATGGCTAAGTGCTCTCGGTTGGTTCATCCTACAATACACGCTACTTGCGCCGACTACTTAAATGGAATGAACCTAAATCCGTTTGCACACTCGACCAACTCTGACAAACACCAAGAACCTAGGAGGTTGAAGACCCTGCTCCCACGGTAACTAAGCAAGAACAAAACCAAAGTAATTAACCATATTTATCACAGAAACCAAATGTACAGGATTCCGTTGGAAATGGACGTCTCCAGGCTTTCATTCAACCTAAAATAGAAACACAGCATACTTAGTTCTGACAGGTATATGCAAAATCAGACGGAGAATGTAATCACAAATCATTCAAGAGGTGTCACATCATTTTATTTACCCACCTAAGACGATTAAGTTAGCAGTTCCCAAGTCCTCATCTGAAAACAGAAAAACTTGATAAGTGAGATTGTCAGTAAAAGTTAAAATCATAAGATCAATTGAAACACGGAGCATCATTTGATATACCAAAGACCCTAGCGAAATCTTACCGAGTTTTCTTTCGCCCCTCTGATATCTCTCGGAACGATCACAGCAGACGGCGTTCTGAAAAGTGAAAAGACGAGTTAGTGGTTACAGTAATTATCAGTAAAGTTATATATCGACTCATGTTTATCATATGAACTATGCGACATCATAAAAACTAATGTGGCTTACCTGATCTCCTGAAAGTTGACCATCAACCACTTGGTACATGTGAGGACCAAACAACCACCTAAGGTGAATTAAAAAATATTTTGGGTTACGGTACAAGCTTCAGATAGGGGCGTGTGCGGACACGAGTCCAATAGAAATGTTATCATCATTTTATACATATAGGAAAGTACTTACGAGATGAATATATCCAGCCAGTCTCTCCCTCATCACTCACTGGAGATTCTTACTACGAGTAAAATAAACGTTGAACTCGAAACTCCTCCCAAAACATATCTGACTAAAAGAAATGTAGGCCGTACGAGAACCTACAATAAGATAAAACATTGTGTTACGATAGACAATCAGGGATAAAGAGTTCGTTTCATAAGCATCAATAGCAGAACTGGAAAACATCATGAAAAACATAACATAGTAACGGTTAGCAACACCTCACCCACAAGTCACGTGCAACATCAACCACGTCCCACCCGTCACTTCAAATCGTATGCAATTATATAGGCGTAGACAGTCATATAAACAAACAATCATGTGTCGTGATCAATTCTACTCGTCAAACCTTTTCAAGCAGTAAGCATAAAAGACTACAATCTTGGCAATAACATTGTATCCATTATTTATTTATTCAAAACTCAAGTATTACACACATGTTCAGTGAGATTGTTTAACACCTCGATGTGTATATGATGCCTGTTGCTGACACCGAGTACGACAAACGTACTCTGGAGAGATTATCCCACTCTATTCATCCTGGATACATTCATATCCCAATTTTAGGAGACTTCAGTCTTCCTGAAGTCAATTTATATGAGCGTACCTATATTGGAGGTGATAGCTCTACTGAGGCTCGGTTTTTCAACCTCATTCAAGATTTGGGATTATTCGAAAATATGAAGTGAGTAACCCGATAAAGAAACAGTCAGACGCCTTCATGCTTAGATTGCTTATTTACAAATGCAGAATTTGTGGTTGACAACCTCCCAATCCTGACTCCGTTGAGGAGAAGTGGTTACGCATTAATAATGTTAAAACTGTAAAGGTACAGCCGGGTGGATTATAAATGAACTAGTGACGACAACACATATGGGCGGTTCAAAAGAGCAATGAACCAATGCACAAAGGCGGCAAGAGGAGATAGAGGCCAGTATCAGATAAAGCTAGTTAATAAGTTTTTCTCCAATCCGAAAGACCCGTTTCGTCATTCAGCTCCTCTTCTAAAAGCCAAAAGCGGAGTTCCCTGGTTGTTAGGTCCTGATGCCTCAACCAACAACGACAGTGATATCTCCGAGCTTCTGGCAGAATAGTATTTTCAGATATTTCAACCGTCGCATACAACCTACATCGACGAGAGCTTTACCTGCGACTCAACGGCGGTCTCAGAATTGAAGCTGAGCGCCGAATCAGTATATCAGGAACTGCAGCATCCAAAAAAAGACTTCTCCTAGCCCAGATATAGTTCATCCTGCTATACTGAGGGAAGCGTCTTCAATCTTGGTAAAACAGCTTAAGGTGGTGTTCGCACATTCTCTAAGCCGAGGTACGGTACCAGAAAATTAGAAGCTGATGCACACGACGCGCATTTCTGTAGACCGATGTTGTTAAATGTGCTACAACTATTTGGAGTTTGGCAACACCATAACCAGTAACACCTATAATCGAAACGTGTCGACCAAGTGAAATCAGAAGTCAAAAGAGAAGAGGTTCAAAGATATATTTAGTGTGCTACCGATATATTGAGAAGTGATCAGTCTAAGCTGGCTAGCGGTCGTAGGAAGTGTGGAGCACGACGTATCCACTCGTGATCTGGTGCAGATGCGTGATCAAATGTCGAAGACCTATAGATCCATTGATTTTTGGGATTTATTTACCGTTACATTATGAACCTTCAAGCTATCTGTCGGTTGCACTTCTCTTAATACCCTCAAAAATTACGGAGTCCCTGATATGAGACGGTCTATGCAACTACTGTAGTGAACACAAAAACGAGTGGGGACAATCGCATGTATTTAGGCTCAAACTACAGAATATCTCAGCAAAATATGAGAACCATATAGTAAATAGTTGATTTGCAAACTATCAATCAATTGTCTAAGTCTTGACCGTTCCTTCTGCGAATATCAGTCCATCATCTTTGATTATTATTGTTCATGCATTTTCACACCAATTTCGTCCCGTTCCCGTTCTCTCCTTATCGACCTTCTACTAAAATATATTCAATGCCCGACCATCGTTGTATACTACTTATGTAGATATAAGTAGCCCACACCACACTACTAACTATCCACAAACTTCTTTGCACCCTAACAACACGGTCTCAATAAGGATCACTTCTGTATAACCAACCTGCTGATTACGGTGGACAAATGGACAACCGTCCTTGATAGCAAGAGCAAGATTTATGTCATACATCTTGATTTCTCAAGAGCTTTTTATGGAGTCAATGTTACGGGAGAACTGAAGACATTTGGCTGATTAAAGCCTTTTTTATGTACATCAATTTCACTGTGTTTTTTGGATGTGTTTGTTTTACTTAACCTTTGGACTTGTTTGTTTATATCATTCTTTTCGGACATTTTGGTTTCTTTTGTTGTTGGTTTGTTATTTGGGAGTTTTTGCTCCGGGAACCTACAAAATTGAAGGTTTGTTTTGTAATTGTTGTAATTATTGTTGTTAGAACGACTTTGGTCGATTATTTGTGAATTGCGAATAAACTTGGTATCAAATTTGGAGTTTTCGTCCTCTTGCCTACTTGGGTTCGTAATTTGCGAATATCGACGGCCAGTACTTCAATAGTTGGAACGGGCAAAAACAAATAATTGGACGTAACAGTCAATCATATGTCTTATCATTATACTTAAACGACTAGGTATCAAGTCACCACTGACATATTGGTTTACTCCATATCTAAATAATCGACTTTTAGGGTCAGGGTAGGCTTCGCTTTTTCTCGAACAACAGAATGTCATTGTGGGAGTCCTCAGGGTCCATCACCGAGACCCCTTCTCCTCTTAGATTATATGGGTGACCTTCCTCAGAAAGTATCGTCTGATTTATTGCTTGTCGCTAACGTTGTGAAGCTTTGGAAAAAAGTCTGCCAGCAAGATTATAAACCGGCATTTGAGAGGGGTGTGGATCGACTTTAAAGTCTGGCACGTAACAACGAACTTAACTTCAACAATACAAAATGTAAAGTGGTCCATGTGAGATATGTTGCATGCTGCACGTACAACCTAGATAACCCTGTAGTGGCATTCGTTCTCAGCCACACGGTCCATCAAGATGGGCATACGATAACCGGGAATATTTACATTCAACATTTAACACCCAGAGGAGGTCAGAGATGGTAGACGCGGGAAAAATTAGTCAGTATGGCATGGCTCGGCCATGCAGGCGTTATCACTTCATGTAACTTGTTTATTTTCGTATTAAACGTATCATTCTTTTCCTAGCCCAAATGTGTACTTCTGAATTATTAAACGTCATATCGCCGATTGCACGATATGAAGACTCAGTAGGGATGACGTGGTCTCGACGTAAGATCTTATAGACTAGACGGACATATGACAAATTTACAATTTCGGGATTAGGTTTATTATTCTAGCAGCAAAGATTAATCCACCAAATAGTGACCTGGATATTAATCCTATAACTCCCCTGTATAAGTATCCCAAGTTGGAAGCGGTCTAGGAGTCTTGGCAACTCACGATCTGCGGTCTCATACTAACTGAGACGAAAATGTCTCTTGAGGGAACCTTGCACTAGCAACGTTGAGGAGCAATTCTAGCCAGTTTGACGGTAGGACTTCCCACGTAATCTTTAAAGACTTTATTCGACCGCATTTAGAGAATGGAAATATGATGCTACCTCCCTCACTACAAAGGGATAAGAATACACTGGAACGTATCCAATGCCGGACTACGAAATCAGCCTCGACACCCAAACGCAAACCTTATGCAGAGCTCCTCAAATCATAGAATCTTTACACATCAGAGTGCAGGTGTCTCAGAGGTGATCTTCTAATGGCTTATTGCGTCATAAACACTCCATAGTGGAATGGACTGCAGTGAAACCTTTCACTCTTTAAGAGCGGTCAAAATCCGGAGACCGCCGCCGATTAAGGTGGTCCAAGCGACCTCCCAAGGGTCCTACAGAAGTAAATCTGATTTAACTCTAGGGACTCAGGACAGTGTTTGATAATAATTTGCAAATATCTTTCTTTATATCGCAAAATAAACCCAGGTTCCTACCTGGAGGTGATCCGTTTTGGAATTATGGTCTACTTCGTTATCAGTACGGCTCTAATAATATATCTAATCCTAAAATCACAGATTTATCATGTTGTAACTGCCTAATCTATAAAATCTTACTTGGAAGCCACATCATTGTCTATCGTATCGTAACAATTACTAATACATGATAGACAACACATTTAGACTGGAGATAGAACAATATATTTAATATGAGTAGAGGAGATAAGACAACACGCAAGAGTGACCACGCTTGCAAGGTCGAGCCACGCCATCCGATCAATTGAATTAATTGAATTCCTTCTTCCCGCCTTCTCTATTGTTGGTATAAAATCCAAACAATGTTTGGGTGAAGGATAACTGTCTGGTAAGGGTAGAAACTCGTGTAATTGGGGTATCAACTATTCTAAATTTCATCATGAATACAAATGTACGATTTCACCCAAGCAAATATTACCACTCAGTCATTCAACCAATATTTGTTCCCACATAAATCGATCTAAATCACAATAAATAGAAAAATTGATAAGAAATGTAAGAAAATTACTGAACGCAACAAAAAATAAGTGTTATTCTATCCTTTCTAGATAGATCAAGTAATTTTCTGTTGCTTTATAACACAAAGTGTTTCTAATTCTGGGACAGTGCTCCAATTCACAACCAAAATGCACGATCCCAGTCAAATCAAGCAACACAATCAAAGAGAGAACAATCAATATGGCAGCCGCCGGGATAAAATATCAATTAAAACAACATAGATACAGCTCAAGAAGAAACATAGAAACCCAGTGAAAGCGACAGAAAAACTATTAAAACTAATATGAAATGAAACACCACAATCTCAAATGGCATCAAAAACATTAAGATTACTTACTTACTTACTTACGCCTGTTACCCCTTGTCGAGGAGCATAGGCCGCTCACCAGCATTCTCCATACAACTCTGTCCTGAGACTTCCTTTCCAGTTCTTTCCAGTTGCTATTCAGCCTTTCCGCTTCCCTTCCGGATTCCAAGTTAGGGATTGAGTCGTGATGCACATTGGTGATTTCCTTAATGTATGTCCGATCCACTTCCAACGTCTTTTCCTTATTTCCTCTTGAGCTGGAAGCTGGTTTGTCCTCTTCCATAAAACGCCGTTACTGATAGTATCCGACCAGTGGATGTTGAGTATTTTGCGTAGACAACTGTTTATAAATACTTGTACCTTCC